TACCTGATCCCATCGACACCTCATGATCACACAGGCTGGTGTGCTTCTTCCATGTGGGCTTTGTTGCTTCTCAACTAGATGGCCACTTGTTTATCGTCATGCCTTTAATATCCCAGACGCTGTTATCTTTTGATAGCCACTTTGCCTGCTTCTTGATGACCTCTACTTTCCAGCATTCAAAGCCTTCCTTGAAGTTTTCTACCATGGCTTACGTCATCACTGAGCCCTCTTTTCTCTGAAGCCCTGCATCTTTAGCTATTCACCTGTGTGTTCCATTCATCATTCATTACACACATATTTAGTCATTATCTACAAGATGCCAAGCACTTTTGTAGACTGGGTAGATGGCAGAGAGTGAAAATAGAGGCTGTGTCCTCCTGGGCCGTAATTCTTGTGGGGTAAGACAGACAATAAGTGGGTAGCTAAATAAATGTAAAAGGAGTCCCGCTGGTGTAAAGGTTAAGCACCCAGCTGTTAGCTGAAAGGTTGGCAGTTCAAGCCCACCCAGCTGCTCTTGGAAAAGACATGGGGCTGTTTTTGTACAGGTTACAGCCTAGACAGCGCCCTGGGGTAGTTCTGCTCTGTCATAGAGAGTTGTGCTCTGAGTTGGAATCCGCTTAAGCGCACCTACCAAAAAGCAGTAGATATGTAGGTTCTATCTGATGGAAAGAAGAGCTTAGAGAAAATTCAATCAGGACAGAGACCTGGGGACTGCCACCGGGACACAGGGACAAGGTGACTTTGGAGCAGAGATCTGAAGGATGTGGAGGAGGTGCCTGGTCAAGCCAGCTGGGGCAAGGGAGGAAAAGACTGCAGGCAAAGGGAGGAGCCACTGCTGCTCCAGGGCCAGGGCCAAGTTTGGCAGGGGTGAGGGCAGCCAGATGGCTGGTGCACAGGAGAGTATAAAGGAAGTAGTGGGGGGGTAGAGGTGAGGGTCCCCCCACGGCTGGAGACCACGGCCTACAAGACTGCTGGCAGTTACTCTGAGTGAAATGAGCAGCCCCTGGAAGGTTCTGAGCAAATGGGTGATCTTATCTGACTGAAATTTTGAGTCTGCCAGCTGTAGCCTGAGGGCTGACCACTTGTGCTGGGAAATAAGATTTTATTGGAACACAGCCCTGCCGGCACAGTTTGGGCATGATCTAGAGGTGTGTCGGAAGAAGAGTCTGGCCGTCTCATTCCAGAAAGTTGGCCATTGGAAATGCTGTGGGGCCCTGCTCTGCTCTGTCAAACACGGAGTCCCTGCGAGTCAGAGCTCATCAAAGGCACCAGGTGATGGCTGCTTTCAGCAGAGGGGTCGCTGCGACGGAAACCACAGGCCCTGCAAGGAATGCGAAGTAGATTTACTGTCTGCATTTTCGAAGCCTTGACTCAGAAGAACAGATTTCCATGGGACTGGACGGAGGCCAGGAGATGAAGTGGACTGCAATGTGGGCGCTTCACTGAAAGGACAGCAGGGCTTGTTAGGAGAAGGGGTTGCCCTGCGGGTGTAACCAGTCCCCAACCCAAATCCGCAGTCCTCGAGTAGAGTCTGACCCTTGTGACCCCGTATAGGCGGACCATCACCAAGGGAGCCAGGGAGCTTCGACTTTCTCCAATAGTGGTTGGTGGTGGATTGGAGCCATCAACCTTGAAGCTAGCAGTCCCACATTTAACTGAAAGCACCACAGGATGTATTAAAGAGAGACAAAAATACTTTGATGGTGAGGGCCTACTAAGTGCCAGCCTGCTAGGCTGCATGCTGTCGCACAGTGGTTCCCAGATCCAGATTTCATACTCACTGGTGTGGAGTGGATTCTGACTCAGAGTGAGCGCCTTATCTAGGATTTCCAAGATGGTAAATGTTTACAGGAGCAAACAGCCTCATTTCTTCCTTGAAACGGATGCTGGCTTTGAACTGCCGACCTTGTGGTTGGCAGTCCAATGCCTAGCCCAGAGCACAGCTTGAACTCCTTTGGGATTTCAAAGTGAAGTGGGGGGAAAATGCTTTAAATTGATGAGCGGTCAGAGGTGACTAATAGGGTTTTCCAATTTTTCTTTACTGAATCAGGGAGGGATGTTGAAGAAAAAGAAAGGAAAAATCCACTTGCCATCAATGATCACCATCCTTTCCTAAAAGAATGTTTCCTAGCAAGAAAAGTAGGAAAGACAGAACCAGAGATGAACAAAATACACTGGGATTCTCCATACACAATACGGAGAATCCACTACCTGATCCTATCAGTTAAAAACATTCCTTTGGGAAAGATTGCCATGGGTATGGTAAAGTCACCGATTGCCAGAGGTTATATTCTGAAGGGAATTTAAAAGTGTACGCATTCCGAAGGCCAAGTTCAATACAGGAAAGAAGACATGTGGAAATTAAGGTACACCTAGCGCAGAAACAGCAAGGACCCTCGGGGAAGCTCAGAAGAGAGTTCACAACAGCAGGGAGGATCCCGGATGGCTTCCCAGAATAAGTCGTACTGGAACTGACCTGCCAGGAGAGTGAGGAAGAGTTGGACCTGAGAAGATGAAGAGATGCAGAATCAGAAAAGTGACGACGGGGCCAGGAAGCATTGAGTGGCAGGGAACTCACTTCCCTTCAGGAGGAGGGCGAGGCCGACTTGCTGTGAGTAGCTCTAGAGTCTCTTTTCAGAGCCTCAGGTTTCACCTGTCAATTCTCATGGTCCGTGTGGCCAAAGGGAAGCGGCCCCAAGATGTCATGGTCTCTGCTCTGAAGATGAGAGCTTCGTTCCCTAAGTGTCAGGGGAGTTGAAGTCTCAACCGGCATGAATAAGAGGAGTCCTAGTGATGTCATGGTCAGGTGTTGATGATGTCATGGTCAGGTATTGGTGATGTCATGGTCAGGTGTTGGTGATGTCATGGTCAGGTATTGGTGATGTCATGGTTAGATGTTGGTGATGTCATGGTCAGGCGTTGGTGATGTCATGGTTAAATGTTGGTGATGTCATGGTCAGGTGTTGGTGATGTCATGGTCAGGTATTGGTAGTCATGGTTAGATGTTGGTGATGTCATGGTCAGGTATTGGTGA